TTTTGTTGTTTTACGGCAACGTTTAAATTCATTTACCCAGTTATAAACAGTCTTAAACACAGGGGCAGACTTGCCATGAACGGCGTTCAACTCAATTGTGATTTCTTTTGGTGTAATGCCTTTCAAATGAAAAATGTTTTATCACCCCTCGAAACTCTGTTTTTCCATTTTTCAAATAAACCAATAACAAAACAACCAATAAAAAATAAACCAATAAAAAAACAACTTAATGAATCGAGCTGAAACTTTGTACGATATCTAGTTGGTAGTATTGCTTGTTATATACGAGGTGTGTTCAAAAAATAACGAGAATTTTCGTTTTATGAAAAAAATATTTATTTATTCATCTACATTAATGTTGTCGCCTTCAAAGTAGTCCCCTTCGGATACAATACACTTATGCCAACGCTTTTTCCAATCCTCGAAACACTTTTGAAACTCGATCTTTGTAATAGCTTGTAGCTCTTTCAACGATTCGCTTTTAATGTCATCTATGCTTGTAAAACGACGGCCTTTTAATGTTCTCTTTATTTTTGGAAATAGAAAAAAGTCACATGGAGCCATATCTGGCAAATATGGAGGCTGAGGCATCGTTACAGTTTCGTTTTTGGCCAAAAATTCACGAACAAGCAATGAAGTGTGAGCAGGCGCATTATCGTGGTGCAAAAGCCATGAATTGTTTTGCCACAAATCCGGGCGTTTTTTTCGGATTGCTTCACGCAAACGACGTTGAACTTGTAGGTAGTACTGCTTATTGATTGTTTGACCTTGTGGCAAGAATTCATAATGCACTATGCCATTAAAATCGAAGAACACAGTGAGCATAACCTTCACATTCGACCGTACTTGTCGAGCCTTTTTCGGTCTTGGCGATCCAGAATGCCTCCACTGGGACGATTAAGCCTTAGTTTCGACATCATATCCGTAAACCCATGTTTCGTCACCTGTTATAACACGTTTTAGTATTTCTGCATCGTTATTGACTTCATTTAGCGACTCCTGAGCAACTTCCATTCGCCGCTGTTTTTGTTCGAAATTCAACAATTTTGGAACCAATTTTGCTGTCACACGTTTCATACCCAAAACATTCGAAAAAATTTGATGGCATGAGCCAACTGATATGCCAACATCATCAGCGACTTCTCTGATTGTGATTCGGCGATCGTTCATAACCATTTCTTTCACTTTTTTCACGTTTTCATCGGTTGTTGATGTGCTTGGGCGTCCGTGTTGTTCGTCATCTTCAACGTTTTCGTGGCCATCTTGGAAACGCTTATACCACTCATAAATCCTTGCTTTACTCATAGCAGACTCACTATATGCCTTTGTTAACATTTGACAAACTTTACTACACTTTATTTCATTTTTTACGCAAAATTTAATACAAATTCTTTGATCCATTTTTTTTCACAAACGAAAATCGCCGAGCTCGAAAAACACGTCTAACGTTAGCGGCTGCCACTTAAAAAGTAAGCAATGAATATTGCTGAAAATTTTATCGTACTTCAGGGGCATGCGTACCAACATAATAAAAAAAAATTTTATACAAGCGGACTCTCCAAACCCGCGAAATTTAAAAATTCTCGTTACTTTTTGAACACACCTCGTACATAATAATTTAAGCGTGATGAACGCCATCTCTTGGATTTCGTAAAGACTTATTGACCCCCCTCGTATTTTCAAGTACTTGGCAACCTTGAATATAATTATTTTGCCCTCCCTGCAGGCAGCCATCAAATTCTTCTACTGGTATAATAGCTTCATTGACCTTCTTTGATCTAGTTTCATCCATTTGGATTGAAATCTATGACATTGAACGTATTATGAGCTTACGTATAATAATGTAACGTTTGCTTGAAACCTCATTGTACCTGACTACATTCTTCGTCGTTCATGCTTAGAATTATCTATTTATTACTTAAATAAACCCATAACCACACACCTTTGATGACGAGAAAATGAAAATGAGAAAAGAATGAAGTTAGATGTGGGATAATTAGATCTATCTTATTAAAAAATTGTATGAAACGTGAGATACAATCAAAATATTGTAAAACAAGATGAACAAGTCTAAATAATGAGCAAACAGTAACTGTCATACTATAAATATTATGAAATATGTACTTACAGTTGTTTGATACAGAGCATGCCGGCAAAACCGAAAAAAAAGCAACGAACATTTCACGGTCACTACTACACCACAACCTAAAAACATCGGCCAGCACGCGATCCGTGTGTACTATATTACACGATACTATAAAGCAACTTTTGCCATAAAATATAGTAAAAATTGTACATCTCACGTAATACAATTTGTAGGTACCAAAATTTGCTTTGTATTTTAGTAATTTCTATAACGTATATTATAATTTTTACTTCTCAATTGGTAATATTTATTACTAATTGAATTAAATTTTCTTATATATATCAATAAAAATTATAATATAAAAATATTTTCTATAGGTACGTAATATTTTTTGTTAAAGGTTCAATAATTTTTAAAATGAAAGTATAATAAACCTTATTATACTCACAATAATGTTTGATGGAAATAATATAATTTTCACCATAATTCTAGTACATCCCAGTTTTGCTAAGATAAATAGCAAAGTTAGCTACAATAATAATAAATTTTATTAGTTCTTTTCTGTCAGTGTAAAGAAAAAATTAATTGTGCCATCTTATTCAGTTTTTTAAGACAAATCCAATGGTACCAAACCTTGAATCAACCTTATAAGAGCGATTTTTTCGAAGAAAAGTGCGAATTTCAAAAAACACTTATTTTACAGCCCCCTGAATATTGGTTGGGATTAAGAAAACGCTATCGAAAATTCGGAAAATTGAAAATCAAGGGGTGAGATGCGTCTTTGAAGGATAAAAATCGCCAAAGGGGTGGTTTAAAAAATCACAAAAAATAAACGAGTAGAACCATTTAATAAAGTTCGGAAAAAGAAAGAAAACGAGCAGTCGCAGAATTCCAGGGTAAAAAAAAAATTAAAAAAAAAGGTTCTAAAGAAGAAAAAGAATTTTGGAAACATCGATATACTATAATCCTGTAATTGTGTTTATTAACACAACCATTTTAGCACGATAGTATTGATATTAATATTGATTAATATTGATACTATGTCAGATAAGAATAAAAAAAGTTAAGATTAATAACATAGTTTATGTAAAAACTAACTAAGCTATCTTTTCCAGAGTAATTTTTACTTAAAAAAATGTTTTACTTACCTTTAATTCTGTAATTATGCTTATTAATACATCCGTATCAAGAAGAAAGCGAGTTGTAATTTTAGTTGGTCATTCACAATTCACACCATAGAATTTATATATACGTGTGAATCGTACGCGTGAATAAAGTATAGTATGCTATACTTGTACTATTTTCGTATTGCTAACTAAATATGATATTCGTTAGCAGTACTACTCTTGTATTTTTTCGTTATTCCGTACGCGAAGATTCAATTTACGCACGCTCGAGAAAGGAAGCTCTTAATCTTCGTAATTTAAACGCATACATTTAATTTAATTTCAATTATTACCTTGTGCTTTTTAGTTTATTTTTAAAACGTCATGATAAAAATTAACACAAAATATTTTTAGAGATAAAAAGTTTTTAATCATTAACAAAAGAAGAAAATATGGTCTTTTTCCAAATTGTCTATAAATAGCGTAATTTGTATTCCGCTGAATAGCATAATTTTTAAAAACGATAGTATTTTCGGCTCACTTAAATTCATCGTGTTAATTCGTCACGTGATGTCGAATAAAATAATTCAAGTAAATTCAAATAATTGTTGAATTACTGATAATTGCAGTTAGCAAGTAAAATTCATTACACGCATAAATGTAGTTGAGCACCGTTTTCAGTTGACTGCGTGGCACGTATGTCAGCTCTTACGCCGCTCCGCGCTCACCAAGCTGCGTTCTATATTCTAAAGCCGGCCGTTGATTGGCTACTCTTTAACGTTGATTATCTCATTGATTTTTCAAGACGAATCTAGTAATATAAGTTTCATCCAATAGTTCAGCATCACCGTGTATAAATGCTACAAAAGGAATGATTATTCTTTTGAACGCAAAACTCATTCTGAGTTGAAAGCGCTTGATAAGGAAACATTTAAAAAGTCAATGAAGAACCTGCTACGAGAAAGTCAAGGATACATAAAAATAAAAGAAATAACTGATCAGATAAATATTACTGAACATTCATAGTAGAACATGTTACAATTCACTATTACTTAATAAAAATCATAATTATTTTTTTATTTGCTTTGATAAAAATACGATCTTATTCATTTTTTGGAATAACACTTGCTACAGAAATTCTAACAGAACTTGACCTCCGTTCATTGCTCTCTAGAACGTTGGCCTTCTGCTCATCTAAACTTGGATAGGTTGCCCTCTACTTGTCTGTTTTCAAGAGAAACAGCCCTCTGCTTATTTGCCCGCCGTAGAATACGCTTTCTATAAATCTGTCCTCGATACGATTCGACCTTGTCTCGTCTGTCCTCGAGAGAACTCGAAAACCTGTCCTGCACCAAAAAAATTTTTCGCACGCACGAATAATTAATTCTCCTAACCTATTCGAGTATTATCAAATAAATACCCCCACTGAAAATAAAGGTACAAATTTTGTACAAAATTGGTACCAAATTTGTACAAAAAAGTGTACAAATTCTGTACGATTATTATTATTTTTCTATAAATAAACAAACTATTTGTCATTATTAGGATGCAATTTACTGAAATAATTTTAAAGGTATTATATAATGAATGAAAATGTATATGTTGTTTCTTGGTCAAATATTTTCTTTTATTCGACATATAAACTAAAAAAGATACTATTTTTTTTCAAATTTCGTATTTAACAGTAAATACATAGTATTAGTTATTGTTTAATTATATATTCATAAATAAACTCTGAAATATAGTTTAATAAATAAATAAATAGCATATGCAATCTAAAAATCTAGCAATAATATTGAGTGAATGTCTTAGATAAAACGTAGGTTGAAATGTTCCACTTGAAATTTATCAAATTGATGATTTAGTTCAACTGACAATATCTTACGAATGTTTTTACGATGAATGATATCGCGCAGTGGACGTTCCTTTAATAATTCAGGAGCTTGGTGAAGAATAAAATATCGGAGGCATTCTGTAAACAAATACAAAAATGTAAACTTATCTACAAATGCTTAAAAACAAATTAAGGGCAAAACTCACTTGTAATTGCTTTTTTTTCAGGTTCTGTTATCGGTCTTCTTGGGCGCCCTTCAACCACTCTTATGTAAGACTTTTTTTGTAAATAAATTCCAACAATGTCTTTACCAAATAAACTTCTGCAAATTTTCTGAACAAGTGAATAATCGTCCGTAGAATCACGTTTAGCATCTTTCCAATCTTGGTATGGAATTTTCAAATTGTAACCAATATGGATGTAGATGATCTGTAAAGTAGTTGTAGGAAATCATTCGTCGCATCATACAGTTTTATCTCAAAATAAATAAAATCACTAACCTCTTTAGATTCATTATCGACTTCTTTGATGCGTTCAAACATGCTGTATTCCTCAGTAGAACCAGTACTACTATCTGATGAAGCATCATGAATAATTCCATTGAAAATCGAAGCTTTGACAGACTGGTTTTTCCTAAGTCTTTTTCTAACTCTTTGAGTTGATCTGCCTTCACGTTGACCACATTTATTTTCTTCTTCTGAACTACAGTTTCTTGCACGAGAATATCTTCTTTGGTGTGAACGTGGCTTTGATGAAGTATTTTTAGGAAGAAGGCTCCTACTTTGAAAATTATTACCCCTGGTCAAAGTAGAAAGAGTCGAACTATGCCCTCCATTGAAATCTTGAAAACATACAAGACACAAAATAAATATATTACTTTTTATTCATTTCAATATTTATTTTTATACCTTACCTATATTTGCTGCGTTTAAAGGAGCGAGAGATTGTCTATTGTTTGAACTAGAAATAATTTCACTATTTTGTGATAACTCAGGATTATCGTTTATATTTTCAATCTGTTCCACTAACATTTCACTCTCAGAATCTGGTGACTGGTGAGTATTTGGATTTTGTTTATTATTTTTCAAAAATAACTCCTTTTTTCTTGTAAATTCTTCTTTTTCTTTTGATGAACGTTGAATGAGTCTACTGTTTTTCTTTTTGTATTTTTTACGTCTCTGTACGAACATGTAAGAATTAATAATTTAAAAAAAAATGATATGGCGAATACTGATGAATAGTTAAATTTTTTACATGTTTATTATGATTTATTTCATCGTTGTTGGACCTCAGTACTGAATCAGAACTTTCACTGTTTTTTTCTTGATCACTGCCTGAAGCAGAATGATTGCATGCTTCAATCAAACTTACACTAAATTTGGTGGCTTTTAATCTTTTCGTGGAATTATTTTTTAAAAACTTGAGAATCACAGGATCTTGCAATAGAAATAAAATTGTTAAATGAAAAAGCTGATAAAATGTTACATCTTAATAAACAAAACTATGACTTACGACCAAATGAAACAATTTGTATAGCAGCGTATCTTTTTGATCCTGTCAATAAACCTGAATATGGTCTGTATTTATCGAAATCAGTAGAATGTTCTGGATACTGGTCTTCAAATTCCTTTATATCTGCAATTGGAATAATATCTTTTGCATTCTTCCTGTTTTTCCACATAATCAGGGCATGTGTTAGTTTGTTGTACTCATCTATTAGCTTTGCACAATTGGGAAAATCTTGCAAAAAATAAAATATCAATGAGACAACCTTATCAATTAAATGCAAAATATATTATACTGTAAATTTCTTTGAACGCAATAATCAAGTTGTAAGTGAAAAACTTACTTCCTAACTGCAGAACTTGAACGTGCATGGATCTGTCTTCAGACGCCTCTATATAATTGTATGTTATTTCAAGGTTGAAATCTGATAAACTTTTGGGAGGCGAGACTTGATATTCTTCTATGGCTGACACTGCAACTACTCTAATTATATCTTGATCAATAATATAAACTAAAGCAAAAGAATTATTCTCAATAGACTGACACTTTGTGCGCATTTCCTCTTCACCTGAAAATTATGGACATACAGTATTTGTTTTGAAAAAAAAATTGCGTTGCACGGTATATATACTTACTCCCTAAGGCATAGATAATCACATCTGAAAAATCACTGCTGATTCCTTTAGCTTGATAAATTTTTTTATCGTAGAATTGAAGCTTATGCTTAGGCTTTGGATCTATTTGTAAATCATTAATGTTAATAACTCTAATTATTTGTTCAGTTGTAAAATCGACAATAGCATGTGAAATTATAGTCTCTTCCAATTGTTTTATTGCATTGTCCATAGATAATTTACCTGTAAAAATAAACAATAATAATATCGAACAAATACACAGATAAATAATTATCCATTTACATGTTTCGAGCACATGTTAACTTTACATATTTCAATTGGTACTTACTTCCTACTTCTAACACGAAAATTTCATTCATCCTTTTGTTGTCATCCAAAGAATAGTAGGCTATATTTTTATCAAAATCTTTAGAATGCAATGGTGTTTTGAGAAATCCAGCTATTTTCTTTATATGTATGATTTCCAGATTATTAGTTATATCATTGTGTACTAAAGCATGATCAATTTTTTCTGGAGGCATGCTTGGTAAATATCGCAACATGCGAAAAGCTTTATCTAACCGTAATTAATCCGTATTGTTAAAAATTTTATGACAATGGAGAACAAAAGAAATGATTGCTATTGTCTCTGATCGAAATAAAAGTTGTCACACAAATCGAGACAATTCTCGTGTGACTTTAGCCCTGCGCAGGCGCGCACTCGTATGTGTACATGCACACTGTAATATCCCTACCTATGCGTAGGGCGCGCACATATATTCTCCATCTTGAAACTCTTGTCGCGTCTTGAAACTCTTGTCGCGTCTTGAAACTCAATTGATATGGCATTAATTAAATAGTTATAAATACATATATTATGATATACAATCGATAAGATTGCATAAAATTATAAATTATGGTGAAAAAAAGAGGACCATACAAGAAATATCTTAAAACCGGAGATAGTCCACCGAAATGTGCTAAATACGATCATGCCAAAAAAAAAAGAAGAAATGATACGAGTGATTCTACTAGTACTGATAATATGGAGGTTAGTTGTGTTGTCAATTTCTTATAAATGCATCATTTGTTAGTGAATAATTGCCTTCTAATCTATGAATGAATATCAATGCACTATATGATATCAATGTAAATATTGTATGTATTGTAAAACAATAATTGTTCGTTGTGAGAAATCTGACTGGTTTAATTACATTTCAGGAACACTATAAAATCATACATAATAATAAATTAGCAAACATTGGAGGCCTTCAGCCAGACACAGGTCATATTGAGGATATTATTCCTGGTTCAACAAGTCCGGAAGAAATCTTGGTGCAGCCAGATATTGCTTGCAATAGTCCAGAGAGACTTCATGATAATATGATGCAGAGTGGAAGTAGTTCTGTCGAGGCAAATTCAGAGCAATATAAATCACAACTGTCAATGAGTGCTCGACTTAGTTACTCTGATGAGGTGAGACTAATCTTCATTACATTCGAATAATGTATTTACTTAAAATAAAAAAAATGTGTATTGTTTGCCTGTTGCAGTTTTGTTGCAAAGAATTAATAACAGTATTTAGTATAAAATTAGTATTTTTTTACTGTACAAGAAATAAAAAAATTCACGAACGATTGATCAGTATTATAATTATAATGAATGTATCAAGGAAGCCTGACAGTAATTTTATCTCTCTGCTAATTAAACACGACTGGTTTTCTTTCCCAAATTCTAATTAACAAGCGCTGTGATTAACTGTGCCAGTAGAGTATCTGCACGCAAACCTACTTTTGCAAAATAGCTGTGCAAATTCTTCAGTTTACGAGAGAAAGAAGTGCTTAAAGTTGAATACTTATTCAGATTATTTTGAAAAGACATTTTTTTTCACATTTTCAAGTCATTTGAAAATGAATGTAATTTTATGGAAGTAACAGAAAATTAAGCTTTTCAGTTATTACCAATCCACTCTTTGATTGATTTTTGCAATAATATTAGTCAATTATTGGTACTGCTAACAAGATTTTTACGTATATTATACAAAATTTCGTAATTATTTCAGGTAGAAGATTCAATACCAGAAACAGATGTAGACGGTGATTTTGACAACTCAGACGACGAAGAGTAATTTTGGAATGAAAAACAAAACAAGGTTAGTCCCGTCAAAAGTCAATTGGATAATGGTACATTAGATGAAATTACACCCGCTAAGGTAGCTGTAAGTCAGGCGGAAATGTTATGTGCTATTGGGAAATACAGCGAACATTTTAATTTGCCAATAACTGGGATAGAACAACTTTGTAAAATGTTCAATAGTTTCCTCGATAAGTCCGTTTTAAAAGATACTCGTTATAAAATTGACAATTTATTAAGATCTTGCGATATCGCAGAATTCCATGCTGTATGCATAAAATGTAAGAAATATCTATGCTCCTTCAAAGCTACTGAACGATTCGTGTATTGTAAATATTGTAAGCGTAAAATTAAAGTTAAAGGCAACAACGTTAATTTTTTCGTAATCTTGAACGTAAAAGATAAAATTAGACATTTACTAGAAATCAACCAAAAGTACTACGACACTCTTTTATCTAGTCTAAATCTACTTAAACATAACTTTCAAGACATTTGCGATGGCTTGAAATATAGAGAATTCTTTTTGTCATTGCCTAATGAGTTGAAAAATTCCTTTATTACTTGTGTTTTGAATACTGATGGAACCCCACTTTGGAAAAGTACTAATTTTTCTCTCTGGCCTTTACAAATACAAATAAATGAAGTTCCATCAGATATTAGACTTAGTGGAAGCATAACTTATGCGCTCTGGATAGGTAAAAGTAAACGTAACATGAATATTTTTCTGAAAGCATTTGCAAAAAACGTTAATAGTATAAATGTTAAAGGTATTCGTTGTACCATCAATAACGAATTGCGGAACTTGAGACTATATCCGATATCTTGTTGCGTTGATTCTGGTGCGCGTGGGCCAATTCAAGGACTTACGCAATACAATGGATATTTTGGGTGTAACTGGTGTTTGCACCCAGGTATACCAGTTATGCATGAAAAAAAAAGTTGTTAAGTATCCTCTTCTAGATTATGTGCCGAACAAGCGATCTACCTACGATACTTTACTCACAATGAGAAATTTGAAAATGAATTTTCCAGAGGTGGGAATGTCTCACGGAATAAAATATTTGTCTCCATTAGTATTTTTACAATTTTTTGAAGGATAGAAAGCACTGGAAGTCGCGTGAATGGGAAAATTGGCTATTATATTATAGCTTACCCATTCTAAAAATGATGCCGGGTTTTGAAGTTTATGCAAAACACTGGGAATTACTTGTGGAAGTAATGCACATTCTAAAGCAAAGCTCCATAACTAACGAAGAGCTTGACTATGCCGAAAAATGTTTGAAAGAATTCATAGTAGAAACAGAAGAACTTTATGGCCAAACCGCAATGACCTTCAATGTTCACCAACTGCTTCATTTGGTGGGTAGTATTAGAAACTGGGGACCAATGCCTTTCCATACTGGTTATCCATTTGAAGCAGGAAATGGAAAACTTCTGAAAATGATAAAATCAAGTAATGGAGTCTTGCATCAAATTTGCCGAAAGCTAGAATATGAAAACAGTTGCATACTGTTAGAAGAACATTTGAATAAGAATTATGAGAATTCGGCAGTCTTGAAATTTGTACGTCAGTTGAATAATCGGCTTACCGAGAAAACTGTTAAAATAGGAGAAAATAGATATTTAGGCAAGTCTGTTTATACTGAAGATCAATGGATAAATTTAAGAAACTTGTCAACAAAATACACAAAAACGTATGAAAGAATGGTTAAAGAAGATTGTCTCTTTGCATGCTGTAAAAAAGAAGGTGCTCGGACAAACAATTCTTTTGCTAAGACAAGAACTGGCAACTTTATAAAAATTGTTAAATTTGTTGTAGATGAATTGAAAGAAAAAGAATTCACTATATGTAATTACATCGCTACCAAAACTGTATTTGAAAAATGTAAAAAAATTGAAAAAATTGTGTCTACCGAAGAAGATAAGATCGATATAGAAACTAATGAAATAACGAATATAGCAATTGTTATAAATACGAAAACTGGACAGTACATTTCAGCTGTTCCAAATATGTTCCATTATTAGAATTATACGTAAAAATTACACATCTATTTTTTTTCATGTGTATAAAAAGTTTTGTAATATAAATTTTCACGCTTTACTTATTGTACTCACGTTCGCATTTACTCGGCTAAAAACTAATGAATATGATATTTATTTTTTTAATACTTTTTTGTATTGTATAGAAATAATCAAGTATTTTTTATAAAAATTTTCGTTATGAAATATTAAAGTTGTAATATTTTCAAAAAATTACATGTATTTTCATTACACCTTTCAATTTATGACAGTAAATTGCATCGTAATAATGACAAATGGTTTGTTAATTTACAGAAAAATGATGATAATCGTACAAAATTCGTACAAATTTTGTACAAATATCGTACAAAATGTGTACAAATTTGTACACTTTTTTGTACAAATTTGGTACCAATTTTGTACAAAATTTGTACCTTCACTTTCAGTGGGGACAGCTTTATACCCTAACGAAAATGAAAAACTTTCATACGGACAGCTTTTTATCATCGATCAATTTAAAACAATGCATTATCGAATGCAACAAAATCCCGTAATAGATTATGAATTAATAACAATAGCAAAATTCGTAATAACAACATTTATGATAAATCATTTGAAATGATGAAAGATGAAATTCGTATGCAACAATTAATAGCAGAAATGCATGGCAATTCATCACAACCTGAATTACATATATTATTTTCACTAAAGCCAGGCCAAGACTGCCGCAGGTATAATTTTCAACGAGTAAATGAAGTTGCGGCAATCTTTTCGACAAATGCTGACGGAGAAATTCCAGAGTTGTACATAACAATTAGAAATAAAAACACAAAAACATTAGAATTTATAAGTTCTCTGGATCCTAATGTAGAACCATGGATTTATTCTTTATATTACCCATACGGCACACGAGGTTGGAAGGTAAATATGTTTCGTACAGATAATAGACATAAAATCACTAGATTAGATTATACTAGGTACAGAATAGATACTATAGATACTACTAGATTAGATTATACTAGGTACAGAATAGCTATCAGAGAGGATGATTTCAATCCTATTATCAGAGGACGTAGATTGTTTTAACAATGGGTAGTAGATAGTTACGTAAAAATCGGAAAAGATAGAATTCAATATAGAATTCAATAATCATCAAAAAGAATTACGAGCTGATACTTATCAAGGTTTACAAGATCACATGAGGAATTGTGCAAACGATGTAAATGGTCATGTAGGGAAAACTATAATTTTACCTTCATCGTTTAATGGTTCGCATCGGTATATGCAACAATGTTATCAGGACGCAATGGCAATTGTAAATGAAACTGGAAAATCTGACATTTTTCTTACTATGACGTGTAATCCAAATTGGTCGGAAATAACAGATAATTTGTTACCAGGACAAGTAGCTGACAGATCAGATTTAGTAGCTAGAGTTTTTGATTTAAAAAAGGATTATTTACTTGATATTGTTGTGAAAAAAAGTTTTTTTGGAAAAGTAGCCTCTTATGTTTATGTCATTGAGTTTCAAAAAAGAGGATTACCACATATGCATTTATTAATCACATTAGAACAGGGATATAAAATTACTACGGCTGACATAGTTGACAAATTCATATCAGCTGAACTACCAATTCAAATAAGAAATCCACGTTTATTTGATATTGTTATGAGAACTATGACTCATGGCCCATGTGGTGACTGGTGTATGAAAGATGGTAAATGCTCAAAAAAATTTCCAAAGCAATTTCAAGATGAAACAACTATGGATGCAAATGGTTATCCACAATATCGCAGGAGAGATACTGGTGTCGAGTATGAATGTCCTAATGGACATAAAATAGATAATAGATAGGTAGTTCCATATTGTTCTGAATTATTAGAAATTTTTGACTGTCACATTAACGTGGAAGTTATTTCAAGTATTAAAGCTGTGAAATATTTATACAAATATATTTATAAAGGATACGATGCAGCTACAGTAGTAATTGGCGAAGCAAAAAATGGGAATATCATTGAACACGACGAATTCCGTAATTACATTGAAACCCGTTATGTAGGTCCAGTTGAAGCATGTTATAGAATCTTTAGTAAAGCATTGCAAGATAAAAGTCATTCAGTTTCAAGATTACCAATACATCTACCTAATGAACAATCAGTGATTATTACACAAAATGAAGATGAATTATCACTATTAGCACACTTAAATAATTCAAGTAGTATGTTACTTGATTACTTCAGTTTAAATACAACTAATGATAAAGCAAGACAGTATTACTACAATGAAATTCTGAAACATTTTACATACAAAAAAGAAAAAGTTAATGGCCAAATGATTTTATCATGGCGAACTAGGCAAAAACACTTTAATTGTATCGGACGCATATATTCTGTAAGCCCTACAAATGTTGAATTATTTCATTTAAGATTGTTATTATTATATGTCAAAGGTGTCACAAATTACAATGATTTGCGAACTGTAGATGATGTACTACATACTTCTTTCACAGCAGCCTGCCTAGCATTAGGAATTATTGAAGATGACGAGGAATGGAATAAAGCTATGAGAGAAGCTGTGTTTTGGATGATGCCTCAGCGTCTGAGAAATTTATTTGTTCGTATATTAATTCACTGTCAACCAACTTATCCTGAAAAATTATGGAAAACATTTAAAGATTCACTGTCTGAAAATTTTTCACGTAACAATGACTTGGATATAAGTTACAGTTCATATAATTGTAAATAATAATAATGGTGACGAAAACAGACAGCTAGAAATTGGCAACCAACAATATGAAAAATTAAATGCAGAGCAGAAACAAATAGTTGATAATATTCTTGAGGCATCACGCTCAGAGAATTATGAGGGCTCAACCTGCTTTTATATTGATGGACAAGGGGGATCTGGAAAAACTTTTATTTATTGTTACGTGACGTTTCATTGTGTTATAATTGTATTTTGTCAAATAATATTTCGCTCTCGCAATTTCCGTCCGGACATAGTATAGCTAGCAATATTCGTGTGCGCGACTCGGTGGGAATGAGCGGCAGAAGCTGATCCACGCTGCGGCAGCATGCTGCGACAGCATGCTGCAGTCAGCGTGTTTAGCTAAGTAATACGAGCCGATACGAGAAGCGTAAACGTCTAAAGCATATGTGCGAGAGAGAGACGGAATGCGAGGGACAAAGGATATATAATGAACCGGCGAAAACAACGACCAGAGATTAGCCAGTTAGGAGTGAGCACTCAACTAAGAAGGCTGCATTATTCCTACTGAAGTTAAATCCATAATAAGAGTTTGAGAATATAATTGTTCGAGTTATAATTAAGTATTAGAAGTGTCGAGTACATTCGTTTTAATAATTTTGTGTAAACGAAAATCATAGGAATTATCATTTTCTTGTGTGTTGCCACACTATTGGATAAAAAAATATATTGGACCAGTTAATCTGACCAGATTCAAAAAAAGTGATGGCCACATCACGATGCAAATAATATTTTGGACCGATTTATATTTACAATATTAATACAAAGTGAGTAACACTTTTTATGTAACCAAAAAATAATAGACATCGCGAGGTGAAAATTACGCGTCTGAAAAAATATATATATATATATATATATATCTTTATTCTGCTTAACTTATTTATGTTGTGAAAGAGACTAGAATAAATATTATAAATATAAACGCCTATAAGTGTAACCATATGGGCAAATCCCAGAAACTTTTGATTTTTGTGTTACTCGCTTCTACAGCTGCGTAGACATGAGTTTGGTCAAGTTGTAATGGCTTAACTTGAAAGGTCTGCAACGTGTGTATCAGGAAAAAAAATATTATTTGTTCAATAATAACCTTTGCATGCAATTCTGAAGGTCAAAAATCCAAAAAGTCGGAATATTGATGAATTTTGCATGTTACTTTGCAAAAAAAGAAATTTCGAATTGCTGTAAAACGTGGAGCATTGTTTGAATTCTATTGAAACTTTTAGAAGTTGTTCTATGTACTATGCCCTTGAAGAAATATCTTCATTTTTTCATGTGCCCTTAATAAAAAATAAATGGGAGTAGCTACAAGTTTTGTAACTGGTTTTTTGCCGAATTTGATAATTGTCGATTTTCGCTTATAGCGATTGGAGCATTGAATGAATCATAATATAACAAATTTTTATGTTTAATTGATGCTTAAGTAAAGCTATTTATGTGCCAAAAAAGTGTGTGCTTGTTAAAACTAGCTTTTTAATCGATGTCAAAGATTGAAATATCTCGCGAAACTTTTTTCCACTATCATCATATTTTAGTAGCACAAAAATAGTAACATGTTAAAACCGTCGACGATCACTGTGCTCTATTTAATATCACCAGTGGAAGCTTATAACAAAATGCTAACTTGATCACTATTTTTATTAAAAGAATAGGGCTATTATAAATTTTAATGTCAAAAATCATGGGTATCAACTTTATAAATATATTGTTGATGGCTCATGTTTTATCATGTATTTTCATTTAAGAATCATTTCCACATTATTGTTAATGAGTGGTGTGTGTGTGCGTGTGTGTGTGCGTGCGTGTGTGTGTGTGTGTGTGCGTGTGTATATGTGTAAGTGTAAGCATGTGTTTGTGTACAAATAGGTATGTATTATATGTCGAGAAATACAGAGATATATGTAATATTTTGAGTACTATTATATTGTTAATGGAGAAAGGGTTGCAGCTGGTGGAGCATTGTATAAAAAATTAAGCACAACTATTCTATCAATTCTTACACTAGGTCCTGTGATCCTGACCAAATTTCACAGGTGTGCTCTAAAAATTGGCCAATTCTACTTTTTTTGACCAAAAATCAAAAGTTTTTGGGATTTGCCCATATGCTTCCCCATTATATTAAAGAAAATCGCTATTACATTTTTCTTTTTAATAAACAAGCGAAAATCGCTATAAACGTTCAATTAATTATTTTATAATTGTGATATCGAGTGTCGGATTATAATTAACAGGGATTTCATTATTGACGCGCGAACGGGCCGGGGTGCCCGAAAGTCTGACTGCCGCCCGGGTCTAAGGCCGCTCGGCTGTTAAAAAGGCCTTCGTACGGGACAAACTCGCCTCGCGCGTTACCACAATTTACAATCTTTTAATGTCAGGGAACATTCAATGTTCTGCAATGGCATACACAGGTATTGCTGCAACATTATTACCTAACGGCAAAACAGTTCACAAAACTTTTGGTTTACCAGTTCCTATGTTCCATGATTCATCTTCAAACATCAAAATACAATCTCAAGAAGGTATGCTTTTGAAAAATACAAAAGTATTTATTTGGGATAAAGCACCAATGGCCCCGAGATATGCTTTGGAAATTGTCAACAGAACATTGAAATATGTAATAAACAACGATCTTCCATTTGGTGGGAAAATAATGATTTTGGGTGGAGATTTTAGAGCTGCTTCTAATCAAAGTTCATGTAACACGTAGTGAAATATTAGATATATCTCTCAAAAACAGTCATTTATGGCCACTTTTTTCTAAATTTCAGTTGAAAACGAATATGAGGGTTTTACCTCATGAAATTGAATTTGCTAAATATTTGTTGCACGTTGGAAATGGAACATTAAATGATGACAACAATAATTACAACTCCCAGAAAAAAGTATACTTCCTGCAAATGAATGTATTGTTCAAAATATTTTCGGTAAGTTAATTAAAAATAAGAAATTTAATGATATCAGTCACTGTGCTATTCTGTCAGCTAGAATGTATATGACTATTATACTATTATACTATTATACAATTATACTATTATACAACATATTATAAATTATATTATACTATTATACAACACTAAACTTACATATTCAAAGTAGTGATTATGGCTCCAATCTTATATTAGTATGAGTAATACATTTAACATCGTATACTTTTTGCTGCCACTATGAAAACACCCGTGAATATTCTTCTAATTTAACGGGTTTAATATTTTGATAATTAATTTCCTTTGTTCGCATACGTTTTAATTTAAAATATACAAAAGTAAATATGTAGCCTCTATTTTATTTTTATTCATTCTCTTTTTCTTTCTACCAAATTTTAACACAACGATATTGATTGTAGTGTCGGAGATGGTTATAAAATTAACAATTTGTACAAATAATTTCAAAACATAACGTATTATGTTCTTAAACCAATTTACTAACATATTTCCATTCTTGCAGTTTATTATCCATGTTAATTATTCATGAATAGAATTTATCGCTAAAATAGAAATCTTACACTCTTTAATATATAATAATAATAATATTTCAAAGTATAGGAAAATTCAAAATTTCGCGTTCTATTTTTGCATCAACAAATCACAACGCTGGATGTCAGCGACTCATCTTTTTTTAAAGATAAGATAGGAATAAAATATGTAAAAAGTATAAAAATAAAAAATAAAAATAAATATAAGGCAAGGATAAGGATAGGATAGAACCATCAGCTGCGCCTAACAATTTAATTTTGTTTCTTTTTTAACGTATTGGTTCATGGTATCAAGCTTTCCATAGGATTTCTCCATATCAACAGATATATTATTTTAATTTAACTGTTTTTTCCATTGTTCATCTGAAACCATTTGGAGAATTTGTTTACATTTATAAATTAAATTTCAAAATTTATTTAAAATAAATTAACGATGCCGACTGCACCGAAATAAATTTGCAGAATTTCATATACCATATCAATTTACCATTCTTCTCAATATTGATCATATTTATCCGAAGCTAAACTTTACAATAAAGATATATTCAATTAATTTATATGTCTAATAAATAAATGCAATTGAAGTGCATTAAGATTACTTTATCGTATTTTTTTAAGGTTAGGTCATTGAGAGAATGTGGAAGTCATTTACAGTTTAATGTCTACAAATAATTATACTTATTTGTATTGATAGATGTAAAGTACTTCGATTTATTATTATGACCGATTTATTCATAATTATGACACACGTAACGAAATTCAGTCAATCAGGTCATAAATAAAATTACTTCACTCAGTATCACTTTTTCCTATAGGAAAATAAAAATATATAGGTTTAGATAAACTTTACAAGTTTTTACCTTCTTTTTTATTTCTTATTGTTATATCAATATTAACATATTTAACTGTTAGAATGAAGGGCTGGAAATAGGAGCGTTAGAGGACGCCATCTATCAGTCAGCGCTGCCTCCTTCTTTCTTCATGAGGTTCCGCTCTCCGCTCACTCGCTTGGTTTCGAACGACTTGAGTAGTTGGTTACGAACAGCGTGTATTAGCCTATTCAGTTAAGAGTTTATCTTTAACAATAAAGAGAATATAAAAAGAATTGTTGTTTGAGTAGAAAATAAAGTTTAAGAGTTCAACTTAATAAAACATATTTAGTTATTTAAAATATCCTGCCAATAATTTCCACGAGCCTAACATTCCAAAAGGTTACGTGCCAGCCCGCGGATTTGGTGGATATTAGTTACGAGAAAAGCTGTTTTCAAAGTAAGTAAAGTGCTGAATATAAGAGAAAGAGTGTGTTAAAAGTGCAATGCGAAAAGTGATTAGAATAGAAAATTTTGAAAGGGGAAGTGCAAAAATGGACAAAAAAGTGTGAGACAAAGAGAAATATATATAGTGTAAGTGAATAAAAAGATTAGGTAAATAGATAAATAGCGATTAAAAAGTGAATTACAAAGAAAATAGGATAAAAGGATCAAACGAGAAAACGGGATCATTCGAGAAAGCCGTGAAATTTTGAGGAAACTCGTTGGGTGTTTTTTTCTTTTATTCAAGACAAAGCGACGACCGACGTGCAGGTCGAAACTGGCGCGCAATAATTAGAGATATAGTTATACACGCTCATGCTGTAAAAGATACACAACGTAAACACACAATAGTCAGCGGATTCCGAGAAGAGAAGTTTTAGACTAAATAAAATAGAACAATAAATAAAGAACAAAACAGAAAATTTTCGAGATCCTACAAGAGAAAATATAACGAGTTAAATTTTTAAAAAATGAGAATAAATTGAACGAATACATAATGAGAACGAGAAAATAAATTAAAAAAAAAATAGAGAAAAGAGGCTATTATTAAGAAAAGTAAATAATAGCAAATTAGAAGGAGAGAAAAGTGAAAATTGAAATACCATTGACAGAATACGTCGAATTCGTGCGAAAACCTGTGGTACAGGGATAACATTCATTCGGCGTCAGGTGAATTTTCGAGCAAGCTACGGGTGTGTATAGCACGTGCGCGTACGCCTCTCCCCGAAAATTTTCGTTAGCGATGCTTGAAAACCAGACGTGGGGGAGTGTGCGTGTTGCATATATCGGGCATGTGAGATCTTCATCAGATTTTTAACGTGAAAATTTTAGATTTGCGGTGCGATTTAAAAATTTGTTAAAAATATTTTGTCAAAAGCCTAAATAAAATAGATTTAATTTTTTTTCTATGCTGTATAGATATTTTGAAAGAGAACAACATCAAACGAGAAGGAAATACTAAACTACAAAGAAAGAGGACAATATATAAGAACAGCACTAGGCAAAAGGTATAGTGTGTTTTTTTTCATAATTTATATTGGATATCCAAAAATGAGAAAAATATAAATATTTGAATTTCAAAAATATTTATATAAAGAGAAAAGAGAAATAATTAAAAGAGTAATAAATTAAATTTTTCGCTAGCTACGAAAACAAAATGGATAAACGCACCTCGAAAGAAGACATATTAAAGACGGCATTACAGCCGGGTACAAAAACTCCCTCGGAGACGAGGAAGTTTAATCAATTGCTACAAGCGCAATTAAGCGATCCTGAAAACCAGGAAAAGAAAGATGCGCTTGAAGCCTACGAAGCAGAGCTACGCAATACCCTAATCGAAAGAGAAAGGCAGAAAAGAAGGGACAGAGGCGAAAAGCTAGAGTGCGATGCTATGGATGAAACGAAAGGACTAGCTGGAGACGAGGAAATGGAGTCAAACGAAGTCCAAGATACGGAAGAGGAAACAGAAATAGAAAGATTGAAGAGAATGTTAATAGACGTGGAAAGGAAAGAACGAGAAAGAGAAAGAGAACTGGAGGAAAAGAGAAATGAAAACGAGCTCCTCCGTACACAACTTCAAAAGAGAACCCAGGAAGTTGAAAGCTTGAAAACCAAGGTACCTCGAAATATTCTAAACTCTACCGCTCATAATGCAAATATTTTAAATAACGAGCCAAATATTTTGGTAATCGATCGGGAGAATTTAACATTAAATTATGACGTTTCAAATAAAGTGTCGGAATCGTTAAATAGTTTAAAAAATACTTTAGAGAATAATAGAAACGCGAATGCAATGAATAATTTAAATAGCTATACGAGAAAATATACGTTAAGCGCAAAATCTGATATAATAATTTGGCTATATAAATTAAAATCAGAGTTAGAAGCAAAAGATCTATTGGACATTATTGACCAAAGAGTAAATGAACCGGAAAACCTTAATGAGAATTTAAAAGCAAAAAGAAAATTAGCAGTGAGAAATATTATAACTAGTCATATTGACAATCAATTTTATAGACAGGTTTTAACATTAAAAGAGCCAAGAGAAATGCTAGAAAAATTAAGAGAATGTGTTAGGGTAGCCAATAATGTAACGCATACTTCGGTGAGGACAAAGCTTTATCAAATAAATATGCGGAAAAATGAGAATTTTGGAGATTTTTATAAAAAGTTTGACAATTTAATTACTGAATATGAATGTTGTGATAAAGCTATACCACTCACAGATGAAGAAAAAAGATCAGCTCTAATACAAGCTCTTGATATAGCGATACCTGAATTAACACTACATAGTATCGCATATCTGCAATCTAACAAAAGAGAATTAACGTTAGCAGAAATAAAGAGCTTTGCATTACAGCTGGAGGCGAAGAGAAATGCCACAGTACCACCTGCAGACGAGAAGGACAAGAAAGTCCACGTGGCACAGTACCGCACGAAATCAACTTGCAACAGGTGCCATAGGAACGGTCACTGGGAACCTGATTGCGACTTACCAGAAGACAAGTGGTACTGCTACCGCTGTAGCAAAATTCACGAGAAGGGACTTGATTGCCGAATGAGAAAATGGTATGGTCAAAATAATAATGAGAACAATAATATTAATGATGTAGATAGAGGTCTTAGTTTGTTTAGAGTCTCCAACCGCGGAGTTGGGGACGACTACGTCTGGGCTACAGTCGGCGCTGTCACTTATGTCTGCGTCTACCTGACACCCAACTGCACCGCGGCGGAGTTTGAAAGGAAGGCGACGCTGTTAGAAGACGGGATCAGGGACCTGCCCGGAGATGTCATCGTTGCGGGGGATCTTAATGCAAGGGCGATCGAGTGGGGAATGAACGAAACGAACCGACGTGGATGACTGCTGCTGGAAATGGCCGCAAGGTTGGACCTAGCAGTAGTAAATACGGGACACATGCCGACGTACAGACGACCAGGGATTGGAGACTCCATCCCTGACGTGACAATGACGTCGGACAGAATCCTGCCACGGCTGAGGGGGTGGCGGGTGGTCGAGGACTATACAGCCAGCGACCATCAATACATCGTCTTCGAAGTGGCGGAACGGACAGAAACGAGACAAACGAGAATCCACCAACCCCCGCGGTGGAACCTTAACAAACTTGACCGACAAAAATTTTCGGAGGAGTTGATGGCGGCATCAGCCCCAGGGTCGAAGATTCCTCCTGAGCTAACGGGCCGGCGAAGAACGGAAAGACTGACAGACGAGACGGCGAAATTAATAAACAGCTTGTGCACCAGCACAATGCCGAAACGACGACAGATACACAAAAGACGGCCACAATACTGGTGGACGGACGAAATAGCCGAGCTACGCAAGATATGCCTGGCAAATCGGCGACGTGCGACGAGGGCTGGAGGTGGACCCGAAAGGGAAAACCTTCAGACCGCGTACAATACAACACAAAAGACGCTGACGCGAGCAATACAAGACAGCAAGACGCGATGCTGGAGGAAGCTCTGCGTGGGGGTGAACGAGGATCCCTGGGGGACAGGATACAAAATTGTGACCGGCAAACTAGGAGTCCGAGTTGCACCCGAACTCAAAGATGCCGAAACAACAGGACGGATCGTTGACGAACTATTTCCGACGCATCCGATTCGGAAGAACGTGACGGACGACGCTGATGCATCGGCGCCCCCCGTCTTTGCCGCTGAGGACCTCATCAGAGCAGCAAATGCAATGAAGACGGGCAAGGCCCCGGGACTAGACGGAATACCGGCCGAGATTCTCCGGCTCGTGGCTCGTCTACGGCCGGAGATACTTCTCGACCTGTACAATACGTGCTTGACGACAGGAACGTTCAGCGATCGGTGGAAAGAGGCGAAGCTCGTTCTTATTCCAAAAGGTAAGGGCGACCCTGGCACACCTTCGGCCTACCGACCGATAGGCCGAATTGTTGAGTTTACTTGACACTACTGGTAAACTCTTTGAACAATTACTCAGACCGAGACTGACGGACGCGATACAGGCCGGAGGGGGTCTCTTAGATTTGCAATTCGGCTTCAGGAGGGGTCGGTCGACGATTGGAGCGATCCAAAAGGTGATTGATTCTTTCCTGGAACTAGATAGACACTGCCATGCGGCGCGACTCATTGTGCTGCTAGCGACGCTCGACATCAGAAATGCTTTTAACTCGGCCAGGTGGGTGGATATCTTGGAGGCGCTGAAAAGCAACTTTCGGATCCCACCGTACCTGGTTCGGGTTGTGGAGGATTATCTGAGAAACAGACGAATAACGTACGAGACGATCGAAGAACAGGTAACGAGACAGGTCACCGCTGGGGTGGCTCAGGGGTCGATACTGGGACCCGACTTTTGGAATGGTCTATACGATAGTCTGCTTCGGCTTGGGATGCCACTCGGAGTGACCCTCGTCGCCTACGCTGATGACGTGGCGGCGGTGATCACGGAGAGATCTCCTGAGCTGGCACAGCTGACGTTGAACCAGACCATGAGACGAGTTGGACGACGGATGACAGAACACGGACTGCAACTCGCAACAGAAAAGACGGAACTTATGCTTCTCACGAGAAGACGCATACAGACGATACTACCCATGAGAGTGGGTACATATGAAACGGAGACCAAGGGGGAAGTCAAGTACCTTGGAGTAACCCTCAATACGAAGATGACCTTCTGGCCTCACATACAGAAGACAGCCCGAAAAGCGGCAGAGAGGATAGCATCCTTGAGCCGCCTGATGGCAAACACGACGGGACCGAGACCAGGAAAGCGGCGACTGCTAATGGCGACAGCTCACTCGATCCTCTTCTACGGCGCGGAAATATGGGCAGATTCCTTGAAGACAAAGAAGTACTGTAAGACAATGACGATGGTACAGAGACAGGGCGCTCTGCGAATCGCTTGCTCCTACCGAACAGTCTCTGCGCAGGCTGTCCTGGTGGTGGCGAGCGTAATACCCGTGGATCTTCTTGCCTCTGAACGTAAAAGGATCTATGGGAGCAGCGCAGACATAGGACGAAAGAACGCGGCAATCGTTGAATGCGAAAGGACGATCGACATGTGGCAAGACCGATGGACAGAAGAACGAGGTTGCAAATAGACGAGACGACTGATACGGGACATGAGACCGTGGCTCGGAAGGAATTTTGGTGATGTGAATTTTCACGTCACCCAGCTCTTGACGGGCCATGGGTACTTTCGACAGTACCTCCACAATATGAACAGAGTACGAACACCCGACTGCAAGTATTGTGGACACGAACGAGACGACGCGGAACACACGTTTTTCGGGTGCGACCGCTGGACAAGACTCAGACGAGAACTAGAGACAACAGTTGGCAACATCACCCCCGATAACATTGTAGAGGTGATGCTGCATAAACCCGAATGGTGGCGTTTAGTCGCTACCTATACGGAAACCATACTAAGACGTAAGAACGTGGACGACTGTCTGAAGGATGACTGAGCAGACGGATTGACGCGACGTAAGGACGCACAGTGAAACGATACGAACGAACGAACACAGACAGAACCCCCAGTCAGAAGTAATATCAACATAGTCCATGGCTGGGGGAAGGACAACAAGGAGATGGCGGTTTAGTGGGTAGGCCTGTCTTTTTTTTGCGGGAGTCCCACATACCTCCTTAGATATCAAGACTAAGGGGAATCCGCAAAAAGGATTCCGCAACTCCTTGTAAAACAAAAAAAAAAAAAATGTAGATAGAGGGAGTGGTAGAGGGATAGGATATAAATTTAATAAAGGTAGCCATGGTAAGAAAAATTATAAACCTAATAAAGAATTTAATAAAAATAATAACATGAAAAATGGTAGAGGAAATTATAGAGGTAGATTATTTAAAAAGAATAAGGGAAATTTTAAGAATAACAACAAACTAGCACAAGTAACACTTGCAGCAGCACACTCAGCACTGGAAGAAAGAGAAAGGAAAACACAGATACAAGGTAATGTCAATAATAATTTAAAATATTTAAATAATATATCTTTCCTAGCGGATTCAGGAGCGACAGAGCACATAGTAAATAAGAGTTTAATTTTAAGTAATTTTGAAAAGAGTACTAAAGGATATAACGGGGTTTTGACCCAGCGCGGGTCACTCGTTATATAAATTACGAGGGGATTAAAACAGCTCGGTGTGGGCCTCGTAATGGGCTGTGCAAAGCCTAGCCCAGCAGCAACAGGAACGGGCGCGAAAGCCGGACGGAACGGGATTGCTTACGATAGGTAAAAGAAAGCGCAAAAGAAGAAAACAGATATACGAATAACATCGAGTTTACTACGGAAAGTTTACTACAGAATTAATACGCAGCGCAAGCGGGAGAGAGAGTGGCGAAAAGCTAGCGAGAGAGACATGTATTCGAGAAGGTACTTACAATAATATCTCGGCGTTAGCCCTGCAGGCGATGTCCTCAGCCTCGCACGTGGTTCGCGATGACGCACAGTGTATAGCTCGGGTGCAGTCAAGAGGCGGGCGGCTTTAAGGGCTCGCACGCGCGGTCGCAGGAACTAGCCCGCCAAAGGCACTAGGGGCAATCTCAGCACCGGTATTTTACACCGAGTAAACACTCGCGTATTCGCAGACAACCGAAATGTCAGTCACAAAAGTTAGTCGCGAAAAGTCGGATAACAAAAGATCGCAAGCAAGAGTATATAGTAGTCGCTCGTCACACGTCCATGTGCTTCCAAGTCGTCGGTACAAGAGCGAGTCCTTATCGCGCGCCTCTGCCCTACTCTCCTACTCGCGCGCGTCGCGCCGGCCTCCCGAATTCTCTCTCTCTAGCTCGCCCTCTATTAGCGCTCTCTCTGACTTACCTTTGGCTGCCATACATGTGGGATAAATATAAGGCAATTATATACAAGAATAATTATAATTATGTATGGGGAGAGAGAGACATAACGAGGGTCTGGCCGCTCGTTATATGCCCCTTCCCCAGACTGGGTAGCAGGGCGTACCAGGTCGAAAAACCTGTCTCTCTCCACCAAGCAAGAAAAATTAATTGATAAAGAAAAATCAAGACATCGTAGTGGTAAAAAAATATGTTTTATTTACTTATCTATACACTAGAAGCTCTAGGTGGAATGTAGCTTACCGCGACTCTCTTCTCGCGCGGATCGCAAATCTAATAACGCGTGACAAAAGAAAACGAGAAGAGAAAAAAAAAACATGGGCGTCAATGCCTGATTCTTGGGGGAAAACCTCGGGGGCGAGGTCGCGAGGATGGTCGTAGCGCTTAGGTTCAGACCTAGTGCTCGGATACACCTCATCTGTCGCCGTCGTCCGCGTGGGTGACCGACAACTCTTCTCGATCTCGAAGGAAGGCTTCCCTGCGTTGGCGTGTTTCGACCGTGCTATATGAGTACGGCTGCTGTCCGCCGCTCCTCCAAAGCTCGTGCCTCGACCAGTTCGGGCAGTCGGAGGTTCGAGGTACTCCCGTGAGGCCGCAAGTGGAGCAAGCCCGCTTGCCGAAGAGGTCGGGACGGGGACCGGCCCAGCGGTTGCACGGCTCGTCTCCCGCGGCTCCTTGCAGGGCAAAGTAGCCTGGCGCGCGGCGCGTCCGGTCGTTCGGGATGGCCTGGTTGGAAGCTCGACGGGAGTGGGACGTCGGTGGGTCGCCCAAGGCTGCGAGCTGCCGTTTCACTGTCTCAAGGTGCTCTTGCGCTCGACGTTGCTCCTCTCGTAGGCGTTGTTGCGTCTCCTCGCGCTGTTTGCGAGCCTCGCGTTCCTTCCGCCATTCGGGGATCGCCTCCTGGAGGTAGGCCTTGAGTTCTATGGCCTCCTGCAGCCTGGTCGCGTAGGTTCCCGCGATAGCGAGACCGCGGGACCCATGACGGTCGATGAAGGCGAGTCCATCTCGGTAGGCCTTCTCCTCCTCCTTTTCCGCGGCTAGCCGCGCCTTTCTGCAGGCGGTGAAATGAGCCTGGAGGACCTTCCACTCCTCTTCGAGGGTAGGTGGCTCTTTCGCCGTCGGGGCCGGGTCTACCTTGGTCTTGAGGCTCGTAGCGACGTCGCGTTCCTCGGGGCCGTAGCCGCGCTGCCGCAGGATGGCCTCCAAGCGCTCGGCGGCCGCCATGGCGGAACAAGGAGACTCGTTGGCGTGCTTCAGGTTGCGGTCCGGTGAATCCTCACCTTTACGGTCTGTATTGCCCTCTGGCCGTCTCGGCCTGCGTAGCATCCTCTGGGGGAAGTCTAGGGTAGTTTCTGCGGAACTTGCGCCGCTGTCATCATCTGACGAGTCCCGCGACTCGTTAGCGGGGTCGTCCCCTACCGCATTGGAGTAGGCCAGGGCTGGAGCTGGAAAAGCATCCCTTCGCGTCGATGGCGCAGCGTTTCGGCGCGATGCGATCGCTACGGCCGCCGTGAGTGCTTCATGCAGCACGTTTTCCATCCATTTGCCGAGGGGAGCTATTTCGGCGTTGGTCAGCATCCTCTACAGAGCGAAGCATACGTAATGTTAGGCAAGAAAACGAACTCAATTAGCTGCATCGAGCGAGAAGCAGTAACAGAGTTTTATTAGCATAGAAGGTGAGATAAGCAGAAAGAAAATGAGGTCGTGGGCTTGCTGAGGCCTCTGGCCCTATAACCTTTGTGACCGAAACGTCGTTGTTCGAGGTATCGCGCTCGTCGCTTTCTTGCGTGCGATCGGGCGAGAAATTTCCTTTCAACGACATCGTCTCGTCGTTTTCGTTTCCTTCAAGGAGAGGACTGTCAGCTGCATCATCGGGGCACTGGACTCCGTCGAAACACGGGCGCAAGTCGCAAACGGCGACTTTACCAACGTCACAACCTTCTTCGTTCTGGAGTTGGTATGAGTTGGGACCGAGGCGGGCGGTAACGATGAACGGGCCCGCGTATTTCGGGCTGAGTTTCGCGGTCGTCTGGTTAGCGGCGGAGGACAGCACACGATTCTTCGCCCAGACTCTATCACCG